CAGCGCACGTAAAAAAACAGCATATTTTCGTAAGAGCAGTGGATTACCGAGGGATGACTATATATAATCAGAATAAGAAATGTTGTGTGAGAGTATTGTCTGTCAATCGTCCCGTAACCTGTTTACGTGTATAATGACACGTACGAGTGAGTAAAAATGACAATGTTCGTTGTAAAATCGCAAATAAATAAATTATGATTCATATGGCATTTTTTTGTCGTCATTGTTAATGCAACGTGTGCTAAAATCCGTATATCCAATTTATATTAGAGACTTAAATATCAAAGTGTGATATTTGTTCTTCGTTTTAAAGATTAGAGTGGGTTTTTTTTTTAAACAGAAGAACGAAGAAATAAGAATATATATGCTATGATTAAACAGTATGAACGATGACTGCATGTAAATGTATCAAACTGTATGAAAGATGATTGCATGTAAATATATATATTTGAATATTAATGTGTAGTCTTTGTTCTTCCTTTTAAAGATAAGGGTGGGGGTTTCTTTAAACAGAAGAACGAAGAATATATATGTTATGATTAAACTGTATGAACGATGACTGCTTGTAAATATATTTATTTGAATATTAATGTGTGGTCTATGTTGTTCGTTCTTTGTTTTAAAGATTAGTATGGGTGTTACTTTAAACAGAAGAACGAAGAGCGAAGAATATATATGTCATGATTAAACAGTATGAACGTTCTTCGTTCTTTGTTCATCGGTTTAAACACACCCATCAAACACTTGACCTTTATTTTTAGATGAAAGAAAGCTGGGCCGACTTTTTGCTGTTCTGCTGCAGCCTTCATTTGTATATTGGATTTCGAGATATCTACCCAGCCCGTGTCCATTTCGCTCGGCTACTGAAAATGTTCTTCTCTATAACATTGTTCAACATCGACATATCAATCAAACGCAACTCGCCGTTTCATATAAATCACCTCTTTTTTTATTAGTTTCGTCAGATGACAATTTTATATTTTCTTACGCGAAGCCGATACAGGAATACCGTGAAACTCGTCGATACATGCGTTCTCACAGATGTTGTAGTCTGACTCTTCCGATTCACTAACCTGGCGACCTGGTTCATGGCTGTCGTGACTATCTTTTTGTTCTCTGTTACCTTCCTCCTGGAATTGTTTTATCAGATCGTCTTCTTGGCAATGCCACGCACCTCGCATTGTTTCTTTTCACATTGACGTTGTTATTCTCTTGATGTTCTATTTTTTCTATCACGTTTTCTCTTTGAGGTAAACAACATGTGTCTTTTTGAAAGGTGCAGAGGAAGTGATCCTTTACGTAAAATTGGGAGGTTAAAAATAACAGCTCTTGTCAGCTATTATGACATTTAATTAAAAGCACTGCTATTTACATAGACTAACCAAGCATTTTTTAAAGTTACAGCAAAGGAAACATTATTTCAATTTGGTAGATTATTGTATTGAGCACAGCCATGACCACAGATGGCAGTTAATATTTAGAATTATTTCACACAGTGTTTTTATGAATATTTAATTCTGAAGGGTTTTTGAATTGTAAAAGCCACACTACAATTCTACCCACAAATTCATAGTAATTTATTCAACAAAATACGGACGAGAATAATTAGAGCATTATGACTATCCACAATGCACATATAATCCAAAATGAGGTAAACACATATGTTTCCTACAAGAAAGGCAAAGATGATTTCAACAAAAAGATATGTCTATCACAGAGTCTATTTGGGACATACAAATAAATGCCAAATACGGACATTATTACACAATTTATGTAGGCCATATACTTAGCAAATACAGGGTTGAAGCAGCATGTGTCCATGTTGGCAAATACTTGGTAAATACAGGCGTTTAGACTGCACATAATTACGCCAACTATTTACATGAATTTGTCATGTATTTAAAAGAGTGTAATATACACAATATTCAGTTTTATCTTCTATATTGATATGTGTCATAGAATATTGTTTTTTGTGTTTTTTTATAAAGTACTTTTTGACACTCTTATGTCAGTTAAAACAAAAGCTAAACTAATAAGAGTATTAAAACTGCACATTCACACATCCAAGCCTGAGCCGTGTAATGTGCTTGTTTTTGTTTTGTTTTTCGAATCTGATTCAATGTTTTCGAAAAATTTCAATTATAATTATAACATGATACTTGGAGTCCGAGAAGAAAAAATATCAAAAGCCATCACTTAACACCAACTGTCTGGTATGGTGGTTTGGAAATCAAACAAATAAATCCATTTCACATATGATTATTTCAATCGTGTTTCCTGTATTTAAACGCCCATCATGGTTTCTATGCCATAGACACATAGACAACGTCAGTCAAAGAAACACACAGTGATCATTCTTAAAGCAAATAGAAAGATACATATAGCATAATCGAACTGATATGCTGTATTGATTGGAACTTGGTGAAAACATTAAATATAAGTTTTATATGTGTATCAATCTACCCCATATATACAATTACATGAGTCAACTAATCCAGACAACATAACATTGTTTATAATGCTCTGTAATTGAACTATATCATTAATCGTAACTTTTAAAGTAGGATCTTATGACTTTGTTAAATGGAATACAGTTATTCGCCTAGATGGAACAGAGAACTAGAGAACCTATGGTAATCCTATCAACAAGGATTTTCTTCAAATTAATATAACTATGCATAGTAATCAGACGCTATCAACGTTATAAAGAAGATCGCCAACTAAAGACGTGGTATTATCCAATAACTGCTTTTCATTAGCAACTGAGATATAGCTGAACATTTTGAAGATGTCACTGGAACACACCTCTTGAATTCGTACTACTTCTTCCATTTTCAATTTGTGTCTCCATTGTTCACTGTTATCTGTCAGGTCATATTGTTCAAATTGTTCTCCATCACCAAAGATCGAATTCAAGACATCAAACCGCATTTTAAGTCCAATAAAATTATAAATCTTGGTAACTGTTTCTTTGCGTTTTCTCTCCAAGTCTTCATATCTTATCATCATATATTTATGTTTTAACCAGACCGGGTGCTCTAAGGGTGTGAAGTAATTAACTTTAAGCCAATGACAATAATCTGAGACAACTTCTTCCATTTTTGGATGGAGTTTAAATTCACCATAAATAACTTGGTTGAAGTGTTCATTTGGTGTGGTTATGTTAGTAAACCTCATTCTTGAAGCAGCCATGCCCCGTGGATCCCGAACAAGAAATATTATTCGAATATCATCACGTTTGATTAAATCTTCAGCTTCGAGTAATGAATATAGTCGACAAACTTTTATTAATCTATGCGATTTTGATAGACAAACTGATGTAATAACATCATTGTTTATAGGATGTGGTAAATAGTTTAAATATGTCCGCGTTAAATAATACTCCATTTTGTTCAAACTATGGAAAAAGTAGTTATATGCACTAAAATTGCAATTAAAGATATCGTGCATAAAATCTAAAAGTTCTTCCCTTATGGTACTTAGCTTCCAGATACTTTCCTCCATAATATGCCGGCCTCTGCCTCGCTGCACCATACCACCTGGTTCATGGACGCCAAAAACATCAGGATGTTTCGTTATATAACGTTCTGTAATTGTTGATCCAGTTCTAAAGCGAGATTGAATCCACACATTTACTCGTGGTTGAGTAACTAGCTGCGAGGTAGCAGTTGTGGCTTGTATGTTTGCACGATGTTTTTGTTTTAATCTAGATATTCCTCGTATTGGCACATGATGAGTTATGCGGTTTAAAGGTGCTATGCTATTTGAAACATAACTTATAACACTAGGCGCCCTAAATAAGAGGTTCACATATATTGTGTAACAAACACAATATACAGAAAATGCAATACATAGTAGGCGGAGATACGTACGCATGTTATACCTTTTCATCTTGATAATAGACTGAATATTTGTTTGAACTGTTGTTGTTTCATTGTTTCAGAGTGGTAACAGCTTGGAGACTAACACATGGTGAGATTATGGTGACATCTACATACATATTATTCAATAATATCACAAACATGGCTATACTACATTTGTTATCTTTCTTGGTTATAACAGTATATTGATTGATGTATGGTATACATAAGTATATCCTTTCATCATAAGGAATATTGTGGTTTTTGACTTACATGGTCGGCTACTCACTAAGCAGTACAATAATAGCACATTCTGTCCACTCCCAAGCCCAAGAAATGAGCTTATAAATGGGTGATATGCACCTCCAATACAATGTATACAGACAATATAAATAAATTGACTAACTGTTAGCACACAATCTCTTAATAGTACTCCAATACATTGCTTCATCTGATTACTGGTTGGTTATAAGTCTAAATCATTACTACTAGTGTTGGGATATCCTTGTCTGAAATGCTAAGATATGTATGTGTTGATGATGTGTATTTATTTGTTTAAAAAAAGCATTTGAAAGTATCAATCATAGATGTTTGCGATCAAAACTTAATGGAGTATAACGGAATCAGAGGGGTACCACTGGCCAGGTTCAAAAGCTGTTTTCAGCTGTTTATAAAAAAGTGGGCAGATCAAGAGTATCCCGCCCTCGGAACATTAGTTGATGTACTTTCAAGGATGAAAATAAAGGCAGCAAAGAAAATTGCAATCATCAAATTCGAGATGACGACGTCAAAAGTGAAAACGAAGGTCTACTTAGAGATCTGCTACCGGAAGCTGTACAACAAAAGGATATACCAAATAGTCCTAGTAATCTACAAGAAGAGAAAAATATAGTAAAAGATGACAGCCTTACCAGAGCAAAGGTTTTTTGCTGCTAGATGTAAAGTTAATCAAAATAACACGTGTAAAACCACCATTTCTCCAATAAAGACAGTATTACTTAACAAGGCTAAAAACGTTATTCTACAGAAAAAAATGAGCTTTCTGGAAAAAGTAAAATCGAGGCACAAGAAACTATACAGTAAACTTAACGATGTACAAAAGAATAAATTAGACAAATATAAAATACGAAGAAAAGTATGCATACAAACAAGGCTCCTCAAGCAGGCTATTAATTAAGCAATAAGCGGAAGGTAACGCGGAAGTAAAAGCGGAAGGTTGGGCGAAATGAGTAATGTAAGTACATAAACTTTGTAGTATTGATAAGTAAATCGGATCTTTGATCAAGTGTAAATTGAGATTACTTTTATGCAAATGTTGTGCTTGTGTTGGTTGTGTTTATAAACAATCACACGTGGCAATGTTTTGAAATAGAAAAAAAATAAGCCTTTTAAAGTGGAGTTTTTGTAACGAATAAAAGCACAGCCATAGTTACTTTCCTTACCATCAATAATTTGAAATAAAAAAAAAAATATTGGAAAAAAACATTAAACGTATGCTAACCCCTAAAAGACACCTCCTACTGTTTTAGATATTAAACACCAATATTCCACAAATGTAGGCCTCAATGTCATCTATTCAGCCCTTGAAAAATTGTCCGCTCAAAACAGACACAGATCTAAGTTTCAACCCAACTTGCCAAATTTGTTTTAACACAAAACAGCCATGGGAACTCGTTTGGCGCTCTCATTTGCAAACTTTTTCGTGGCTAACATCGAATCCCCTTCACTCAAAACTAAACCCTCCCAGACACTAACGACAAATATATGCCATGTTCTAGTCCATTATAATTACTACGTTTTCGTTCACTCTCTATGTCAAATTTTAATACCCAAACACCTTTTTCCACCGTTTACTTTCCCGATCGCCACTCCTCCCATTGTTTTATACCGTCCTAATACCTAATCCATGCTCGAAATCATCTTCTAAAAAAAATCTTTTTCATTGCATTTATTATTCCAAACTCCGCCTACCACATCAACCTCAAAAAACTATCGACCCACCCAAATATATATCTTTTTTAAAAACTACACGCACACATTTCCCCCGGCCGCCCAACAGTGTGTAAACAGAAACTAACGCCCATCAGTTACTTCTTTGTTGTTTTTATTGGTGAAAAACAACGCCCACCACATTAACACTAAAACAAGCGCCACTCTACTGAAACCATGCCTTAGTTTGAACACAGCAGGCTGCCCCGTTTGTGTACTCTCCTGTTATGGTTAACATGGTTTCGCTACTATCTTGTATTATATGTAAAAATGATCGAAAGTTTGTTTCTCAATCGTGCTTCAACCGATCAACTCTATGTGTTGTATATAACATTTCAAGTCGTATGTTCATATCAGAAAAATAATATAATTTTGATTAGTTATGTGGTTAGCCCCCATCTTTGAATTCGTTGAAACATAAATTGTACACTTACATGACCAAAAGTTTTGGCATTTTTATATCAAAAGTGCTTCGCCTGATCAGTTGTACATTTGTTATATAATATGAATAGCCATACCTTGTTGCAAGAAGAATTTTATAAGTTTAATACATCACGTGGTTTTGCCGCCATTTTTGTGGAAACGTACAATTACATGTGGCTCGATTGGGCTTACATTTTGTATGTGCATCCTTTTTTGTGATACATCCTTTCACACAAATTGAACATGTGTAAATTATGTAACTGTGCAACCATGCGGTGGGTTATATCCTCATTAATATGAATAACTGTCTTATTAAGATTATGTTAAACAAGAGATCTGACTAAAAAAAACTATATGGTCATGTGAACTTATCAATATGATAACTGTCATATCTGAAACACTGTTGCAGAACAGGACATGCAACCAGGGTCATACTGAAGACATCTAACAAAATATGTAACTACCATAAGATATTACTTTATATGATCATGTAACCTCTTTAATATGAATAATCACATGGCTCATTTTATATTCTGAAACCATATCTCGATAACCAAACCAGGTAAATACATGGAACCAACTGCATTTCGACCTTGTGTTGCTGATCATTCAAACTACCAGACTGTCTATTATGTGACCTGGTTAATTATGAAATAGAATCATGTTAGCTTGGGTCCCATTGACGCCGCTTGTGCATGTGTTTTGCAGGAGCTCTGTTATATCGAATAATTTTAAGCCAGGTAAGTGCCTTATTGTTCAATTTCTTCACCGCTATGTTAGTGGTACATCATTTCTATTTTGGTATTTGTTTTCTTATGCAAATGATTGCTGTGATTTTTGGTTGATTTTATATTTCAGAACAACTACCGACGAATAGTTGGTTCAATGCGTACAATCCAACTGGAGTGCAAATCATGTGGACGACAAACTCACATGCTCAAGCGCAAAGAATACATTAGTGGTTTGATAATGTAATACCTGGAGGTCACCCTTATTCTATATACCTCTCCACTGACGAGATGCGATGTTCTTCATTTAAACAGGTTGGTCTTATTCGAAAAAAATGTCCATGTACCGATAAAGTACAAAATCAAGAAAATACTACAAGCAGCAACAAAACAAATAATATTAATAATGATAGACAAGTAACACTATTAAACGAAACGGAAAAAGCTTGTAATAATTCTTTCATAAATAACAATAAAATATGAGCTCAAGATGTTGGACATATCCAAACTGATAATATTGAAACTAATGAAACAAGAAACAAACATATGGATGCAAATGAAACTGAGAATATTGAACTAATAAAATTGTAAAAACTGAAATTTACCAAGTAGACGCAATGAAACATTGAATTTTGATACTGAACTGATCACCGATACCGCCAATAAATACATAAATACTGATGACGTTAGTAACTTTATTGATCCATTTGATACACAATAATACTTTGATATTGATGAAGTGAGCGAACGATTCCCTTTATCAAAAAAAATTACAACCCTAAAACGGCTAATGTGGTGATATAGAGATTGAGTTTATTTTCGCAGAAATATCTGATCTGCAAGACACCCACGAACAGGAAAAAATACACCTTCTGGGCTCATTACACTTTTAGATGACGTAAAATGGTCTGAAATGTTTCTAAAGCGTCTAGACTTTTGTTCAGATGCCCTTTTAAAAAAATAAAACAGACCGATTTGTTAATATTTCAACAGAAATTTTGAATTAATAATATACTACAGAACAACCTAAAAACTGAACAATATTGTACTGCACATCTATGTTGCATCTTATAATGTGTTCTTTTTCTCTGTACTGCTGTGACCCTTTTATAGGTCACGATTTTTTTTCGTCTCTTAATTGTAATAAAAATGTGTCTTACACTCTCCAAATATAACTCAACTGCTATCGATGAAAACATAGGCATGTGGTATATGGTATGGAGTTCACCCAAAATTACTTCACATGATGATGTTGCGTTTCCTACAAACCCAGTCCTACAAATACACAAATAAAACATAATTCATCGGACGTCGTTATTATTGACCGCTTTCTGAATTTCAATGTCAATGTTGGAACCGAATACACAACTATATAATTAACTTTCTA